CGAAGAGAGAGTAATCGAGGAAGCTAGTTGTAATCAACATTGCGAATTTCCACAGTACGACAGGACGTACCGATGCCGATCTGGAGAGCCTCCTGCATCTTGGGCGAATACTGAGAGTTCAGAGCTAGTAGAGCCGAATCCAAAAACCCAGTCACCACAGACATCAAGAACCTGGCACAAACGCTCTGTTGAGTCCATGTCTATCGTGAAACGACGCGTGTCGAGTAGAACACTTACACTAGGCCGAGCAAGATGCCGTATACCACGTCAGCAGGAAGACCCAACCAACGGAATAGGAAGATGACAAACAAGCAGCAGAACTGTCCGCTGAAGCCACCCAGGATTCGACGGTGGAATTTCATGGACTTGCCAAACGAGAGCACCAGGACCGTCATGACCGAACCGAATTGGTACAGACAGGTGACCACGAACTCAATGTTCTTGTCAGGGAACAGGGTCTTCCAGTAGTCGAAGGCTGCCCAAATAGCTGAGGAAACAACTTACACTATCACATACGAATAACAAAGCTTACCAGAGATTGGGAATAGATAGCCGATACCGATGATAACCATCCGGGTATATGCCCCTGTCGTGACGGTCACAAATTTGTCCTTCTCCAGAGCACCGGCCTCACCGGCGGACACGGTGTTCACCACTGGTTCATTAGTTGCACTCATGAGCGAGAGTTAGTGGAGATTAATCAAGTATTACAAAGTCGGAATAACCAACACTGAAACAACAACATAGGATACAATCTGCAGAGAGCGCCAGACCTCTGTGGACCCTACCACTAGCCCGAGTCCAAGAAACCACAACACAGTACGTTAAATCATTCTGGGAGCTAGTGAGCGACGAGATGCACAAGGTCTACGACTCTCTATAGTAGTTGAGTTCAGCGCTGGGCAATGACCAGAGAAGAGACCTGGGAAGCTTCGGAAGCTACACAATACAGCTGTCCCTTACACTAGAATTCCTCCATTCGTAACACTCGCCTAAGCTTTGACAAATAGCTAATACAGCTTAATCTCGGGCTCGCTCGCACAGCTACAATGGCAGCCTCTCCGTGAACCAACGCAAGTCGTCATGATCCTCTCAAGGGAAAAGTTATACATTCATGTGCTGTGCATGACGGCGGGGGTCGGCCCTACTCCACATCTTCCGCGTAGCTGTAGTCCGCCTGAAGACGTAGACATAGATATCGCCATCGCTAGTCTCCGCTCTGGTTGTCTTGATACCCATGATACCTTGTGATGCATGACGAGAATATCGTCTATAAAGTAGAAGCTGTCACTCTTGGTCTCCCAAGGGGCTTCAATCATCGCCTTCTTCTCTTCAGCTGTGAGCTCGGGCAGTTCATATATCACCTACAGTCAACCAAGCCCGGCTGTTGAGACGAGACTCCTTCCATAACAACAACGTAGACTATCAAGAAGAAGATAGCGCTCGCCCCAGGCCGTTTGGGGCGTACTCCTCTGACGCCTGGTCAGCCGCCGGTGCCGAGCCCAGTACGAGAGTTACCTCCCACGTGTTCACGGTGTTGGGCATACAGTAGGGCATTGTGAAGTCATAGGACTTGAGGATCTTGTCCTTGAAATAGTGACGCTCAATCATGCGGAAGTTGTGGACCGGCTT